GACATTGGAACAACTTTGGAATAGGTTAGTTGACGTTGCTGATGAAAATCCAACGTAAATCCGACGTCGGATTGACGTCGCGTGCCCACTGGGTTATATATACAAAAACAAGCTAATGTAAACTTTTATTAAAAAAAACAAACTGATTATAAACATTTTTGTATTTCTTGTTTTGTCTAGTTATAACATGTAAATATATTCTCAGAAAAATTTAATCCATGCATTTTTAAAAAATGATAATAACTCATATTATAACATATATTTTTTAATCGTTCTAAATAATCAATTTTTTTTTATTTTTTTTTTTAATTACACATAAAATAAAAATAAAATGTTTGATGAGCTTTGTGACCTGCTTTTGTAATATCTGCGCAATAACATGTTTTTTCAGGATAATAAACTTTTTATAAAGATGTTCATTCACCATTCTAAGTGTCGATCTTAAATGTTCTTTAAGTTTATCAATATCTTTTTCGTTATATTCAAGTTTCCATTTATAATTAACAAAAAAATGCGATGCACCTTCCGTCTTCATTTTTATAACGCGATCCATTAAAACTCCTTGATTTAAATTTCGTTCTTACAAATGAGCGTGCGATTCATTATTATATTTTTGAATCAACGCACATTTTCTTCCCAACGAAACTAAGAGATTTTAAGAAATAAAAGAAACTTTTAACTAACTATTTATATTTTTTTTATTATTAAAAAAATTTAAACTACCAAAAAACAATAATATATACAATATTTTAAACATATTCAAAACACAAAAAAATAAGCTAAAAATAAAATACTAAAAGAGAAAAAAAATTTAAATTTCATAATCAGAAATCAGAATTACGTCGTCTTCCTCATCGTCAAATATGATATTTACTTCGTCTTCCTCATTATCAGAAATGACAATTACGTCGTCTTCCTCGTCGTCAGAAATGAAAACTAAAAAGAAAACTCTATTTACTTTTTTTTTGTAATATAAAAAAATATTTTTATATAAGAAACTGATTACATCGTGAAAATCTTAAATTCCAACTTCTTCATTACACTGGGCAACAAAAAAATATTTTTTTTTTGTATCTTTAGCAAATTTTATTCAAATTATACTAATTTTGGGCTGAGAAAAAAGGAATTAACAACAATAACTTTTTATTAGCTCTAGTTTCTGAGATATACAATGGAAATAAATTTTTATTTCAGTTAATTTTCAACAGAACAATATGACGTATAATTTACATATTCTAATAACATTTGAAGTACATTTGTTTTTTTTTATTACAGATATATTCTAATAGTTTTAAACAAAAAAAATTCTAATAGTTTTAAACAAAAAAATCATGATCATCAATTTAATAGGTTTAAAGATGATTATGGGGTATCGTCACGAGATTGTGATCTTTTTGCTTTCCTTTTGTAGACTAGTTCTGGAGCATCCCTACACAAAAACCAACAGTAATCTGCAAGCATAGCCTCATTCCAACAACCCTGATATCTTTGTTCCAATACAGAAAAAACTTGGTGAAACCGTTCCCCATGTTCATCACTAACAGCTCCACAATGGGGGGGGGGGGGAGAGAAGTCTAGGTGTAAGTGGAGGAAATGAATCTTGAGGGACATGTTAGATCCAAGTTGATAGTATTTTTGCAGAAGTATTGTTACCTATTGAATGTAGTTACGATCTCTTTTGTTGCCTAAAAATCCACAAATCACTCCCTTAAGAGATTCCCGAGCTTCTTTTTCTTGCCCTTTCAAAACTTCGTCAAATGCAGGATCTTTCATAAGCTGGCGTATTCGTGGTCCAACAAAACACCCTTTTTAACTTTTATATCACTTATTTTTGGAAATTTGTTTCTTAAATGCATAAAAGCCTGTCCTTCTTTGTTCATACCTTTGACAAAATACTTCATTAAACCCAACTTAATATGTAATGGTGGAAGAAGAACATCTTTTGGATCCACAAGTGGTTCAGCAATAACATTTTTTTTTTCTGTGTTGAGATTTCTTGTTGGCCAGTCTTCTTTTATATAATGTGAACTTCTGTCTCTACTATCCCACATACACAAAAAGCAGCAGTATTTAGTATACCCTAATTGCATTCCTAAAAGTATAGCAATGACTTTTAGATCACCACAAATTTTCCATTTGTGTTCATTGTAATTAATTGAGTTGAGGAGAACTTACATGTTTATATAAGTCTCTTTCATGTGAACTGCATGGCCAATAGGAACAGAAGAAAGACGGTTTCCGTTGTGCAGTAATACAGCTTTGAAGTTTAGCTTAGATGAGTCAATGAATAATCTCCATTCAGTTGGGTCATAGTTCAAATTAAGACAATACATTAATCCAAAAACATCAATGCAAGCAACAAGATTATTTTTTTCTCAAATAAAGAAAGCAGATTCTGCTGCCGTTTTCTATTTTGTGAAACCTTGACATCAAATTGGAGAAGATTCCACTGCTTTAGTCTTGACCCTAGAAGTTCTGCCTTTTCCTGTGACAAGTCCAGATCTCAAACAAGATCACTTAATTCTGCTTGACTTAATCTGTGTGGCACAACATCTGTTTACAAAAAATCAGGATTATTTGATGTAGAAGGCCTGTTTTCTTCTATTTCTACATCATTTCCGTATTCATTTTCTGCTTCTTACTCATAACTTTGTGGTGGAGTAGGAACTGGTAAACTATCTGAATAAGGAATAGGTCGAGTGGCAGAGGAAAGATTTAGATATTTAACTGCTCCTATTTTCTTCATTGACAAACCTGCCTTAATGGGTGGGGTCAAGCAGAAATAGCAGTCATCTGTATGGTTTTTAGGCTCTCTCCATACCATAGGAACAGCAAAAGGCAAAGATATTTTTTTATTTTTCAACCATTCTCGTAGTGTAACCGAACAAGAGCTACAGCATATATGTGAAGCCCATGACTTATCCTGGTTCCTTACCTTCATATTGAAGTAATGCTGGTAAGCAGTATGCACAAGAGGTGTCATAGTTCTTTTCTGTGAGAAAAATGTTATTTCACCACAAATGTAACAAAAATTATCCACTAAATTTACACACTTCCTTGGCATTTGTAAAATTTTAGTTGAGTAGATTTGTAAAATTTTACACTAGAAAATAAAAAAAAACTATGAATTGATTAGACCAGAAACATTAGCAAACACACATAACTAGTATCACAAGTTTTAAACATGAATCAAACATTATGGATAGTCAAAAACAAAAATCTCTTTTTTCAATAAATGAAAGTTACCCTTGCAAGAGTTGAGTTAAGCGATCGCGATTTGCAAAATCTGGAAAAATATCTGGTCTTCAAAATTTTAGTTTATGCAAAGCCGTGTACTTTATTTTTAAGGAGCAAATCATTTTAAGTTTGCTTGCGAAAAAGTTATAAAAAACAAAACAAAACAATAAACTTACGATTACGAATGTAATAACACTCCAGTCACTAACTGCATTATTTATTTCTTATTTTTTATTTATTTGCATTCACTCCCAACAAGGCTGCAAGCAACCACTATTAAGTTGGGAGTTACTAGGAAAAAAAAGAACAGAGTTATAGAGCAAGGAAACGGTTGACAGAAGGCTTGAAAAGTTGAAGGTTGTATGAGTCAGGAAAACATGAAGATGATAGAGAGAGTTCCAAAGGATTGAAGTGCGGGGAAAAAAAACTAGATAAATAAAAGTTTTTAGAGCATGCAGGGACAGATACAGTAAATGAATGAGACTTAGCTCAATAACGAGTAAAACGAGAATGAATTTTAGTTGATGGAACTAGAGATGATAACTCCTTTGATCAGTGACCATGATAGTATTTGTATAAAAGAGAAAGAGATGCAGTTTTACGACGATAGGAAAGAGATTCAAGCTTAGCAGATAGTCCAGGTCCAACAACATTTACAATGCGTTTTTGGACCTTGTCAAGAAGAGAAAGTGAATCATTAGAAGAACCAGCCCAAATAAGACAGCAGTATTCCATACAGGGACGAATAAGAGATTTGTAGAGGTAGAGAATGGAATCAGAAGTAAGGAAATGGCGAGCACGATAAAGAGAAGCAACCTTAGCAGAAGCTAATTTAGCAATCGATTGTATATATGGTTTCCATGAAAAGTCAGTAGTAAGCGATAATCCAAGAAGACGTAATGAGGAGGACTCAGTAAGAGGATTGCCATTCATTAATATAGGAATGTTGACCATTTTACGGTAGTTGTTTGCAGTAAGCAAATGGGTTTTTTCAGAGTTGAAATTCACAAGCCACTGTGAACCCCAATCTATTACTGAAGTGAGATCGGATTCAAGATCAGCTGCTTGTTCTAGGCGATCGAAAAGAGAAGACTTTTTGTCAAGACAGGAGTATAAAGTTGAGTCATCAGCAAAAAGAACTACTTAAGATGAAAGGTTGTCAGGAAGATCGTTTATGTAGATAAGAAACAAAACAGGGCCAAGGATGGAACCTTGGGGAACCCCAGAAGTTACTGGAAATAAAGAAGAGTGTTGGCCTTCAAGGATGACTTCAATAAACCGGTTAGAAAGAAATGATTTGATAATCTCAAAAACTTTCCCAGAAACACCATATGAAGCAAGCTTATGGAGAAGACCAGTATGCCAAACTTTGTCGAAAGCTTTAGATATGTCGAGAGCAATAGCCCCCTATCCGCGCATCAATGGTGATTGAGTAGTGATTCAATACATATCGTAAGTGGTGATTTAGTACTTATTGAATGGTGATTCTGTAAACTTTTTGTCACTAGTGATTAAGTGGCGATTTGTCACTAGTAATTAAGTAATGATTATCACCGCGGATTTAGCAGTGATACACCAGTGATTTACTGTTGATTGAATAGTGATTTAATACTTATCGTAAGTGGTAATTTAGTACTTATTGAATGCTGATCCTGTAAACTTTTTATCACTAGTGATTGAGTGGCGATTTGTCACTAGTAAATAAGTAGTGATTTTCACCGTTGATTTAACGCCGATTCTTTAGTTTTGATTACTTATTGTTATTAGTGAAAATCTGATGGTGTGCATTTTCGTATTTCAAGCAGTTCTGATGAAATTTTGCTGTGTACGGAAGAACCTATATTGTTAATATAATTTTTCATAAGCTTTTTCGTAATACCTAAACAAACTAAATGCATGTAGTCGAGAACAAATCCTGTCACCATTCGAATTTCAATATCGGATAATGGTGATTTGCCAATCTGGTGTTTTAAATAAAAATTTTCTTTAAATTTTTTATCATCTCGTAATAAAGATTTAGTGCCTAATAATCTTATGCCTTTATTATATTCACCATGTTCTTGGTATCTTTCACAGCTGTCATATCCACTATGTCCTTTTATACATTTTAAAAATGCTCTGGCTGGTGCATTACATACAAATGCCTTAACCATCACCTTTAAGCCCACATACCCATTTATAAAAAAGAATTTCATTTCCGCCACAAATTTTTCAAAATATTCTCTAAGAATTGTAGGTTTTCCTTCGCCATACCATAAAGCAATTGTATATGGACCTTGTTGGTTTACAGTACACAATATAGGCCACATTTGTTTTTTATTTACTATTGTATATTCGAGTGCCATCAACATTTACAATAAGATTAAACTCTGTTGGGTTTCTGAAGCATTTTACATAATTGCTAAGTGCACTTTTTAAAGTAATATAAACAAAATCACCTCCAGCAACTTTTTCAACATCCACACTTCTTAAAGTGTGTTTTAAAGATGTTCCACTTTTAGGAATGTCTTTCATGAAAGAGTTAAAATATGTCAAAAGCTCATTCAACGGTTTAGACCTTATATCATTTTCAACTGCCCATTTATGGAGAAAATATTGAGTCTTACAATACAGATTGAGAAACCGCATTTTCTGCTGTATCAATGTTTTCATTATATTCTTTTTCGTCTTCTTTACTTTCTTCTTCTTTGTCGTCTTCTTTACCTTCCTCTTCTTTACCCTCCTCTTCTTTCCCCTCCTCTTCTTAACCCTCCTCTTCTTTACTATCTTCTTCTTTACTTTCTTCTTTACCTTCCTCTTCTTTACCTTCTTCTTTAAATAATTTTTTAAAACTTCTATAATCTCTTATGTAACTTTTCATATAGTGCTTACGCTTGTTATCTGCCATATTTGATTGAGACGAACTAGTACAAACTTCCTGTTATGATAACACGAAACAGTCACTACAAAATAAGCATTGAATCACCACTTTCATAAATTCTAGAGTTAATGTAAGTGGTAATTCAATGCGTATTTAGTAGTGACTGATAAGCACATCGGAAAATTAAGTAGCGATCACTAGTGATCACCACTCAATCACCGCTGATCAGTACTAAATCACTAGTGATGCGGGCACAGGGGCCCTAGCCTCACCGCCACTATCTAATGCACGATAAAATCTTTCAGCTACAGCAGTTAGCAAGTCGGCCGTAGAGCGAGAGGATCGAAAACCGTATTGATTGTCTGACAGCAGTTTATTTGACTCAAGATGAGATGTGAGGAATTTGTTGATCAAAGACTCAAAGACCTTGCTAATAACAGATCTACTTCTTGCTAATAACTTCTTGCTAATAACTGATCGGACGATAATTGGAGAAGTCAGAATTTTCTTCAGAGTTTTTGAATATTGGAACCACAGATGCCATTTTCCAACAAGCAGGAAAACAAGACTCAGTCAAACACTTGTTAAATAGTTTAGAGAGAATTGAAGAAAGTTCTGGAGAACAATTCTGCAAGACTGTGACAGAAATGTTGTCTGGACCACAAGCTGTAGACGAGTTTAATTGAGATATGACTTTAGCAACAGAAGCCGGAGTGATTTGAATGTCTAACAATGGATCAACCTGTTTGACTGGAATGGAAGGAAGAGAATGTCCATAAGATTCAAGAGTGGAATTAGAAGAAAAGTTATTTGCAAATAGTTCTGCCTTATCCTTGGGAGAGGTAATAGGATCAGTCCCATGAATGAGAGATGGAATGTTAGATCTACCCTTGTTAACAATGCTGTTGAAGATTTTCCAAAAGTCTTTAGAACCTAACTTCTGCGATAAGATGCGAGATTTAGTGAACTGAGAATAATGGAGTTTAGCATCAGAAAGCACCTTTTTACATCGATTCCTTGCAATAATAAATAGCCGTTTGTTCTTAAGAGAGTTGTTCTTTTGAAAAAGATGAAAAAAATGATTACGATTGGATATAGCAGCCGCACAAGAAGGAGAAAACCATGGAGTAGAATGAGGCTTGACTTGAAACCGACGCGAAGGAATAAAAGCTTCCATTCCAGCCTGAATCCAGGAGGTTACGTAGGAGGCGCATTTGTCAGCTGAGAGAGAAAAAACATCAGCCCAAAGACCATCACGAAGAAAATCACGAAAGGAATCCCAGTCAGCTTTAGGGTAGTAGTAGGTGGTGCAATAATAAAGTGAGCCCAAAAAAGAAGTACGAGAAGAAAGATTTATAGATATCATTGCATGGTCAGAACCACCTAAGGGAGAATAGAGAGAAACTGAACATAAGCTAGGGTCAGAGACAAGACATAAGTCAAGGAGTGAAGGTAAATGATTAGGGTTGTCAGGAAAACGAGTCACAAAGTTAACTATCTGAGTAAGAGATTGAGAAACGCAGAAGTTAAAGGCTTTAGTGCCAGCAGGATCAGTGGTGTTAGAGCCAAGCCATTCAGTGTGATGGGCATTAAAATCACCAACAACAACAATATTGGCAGTGGGGTAAAGAGAGAGGGCATGGTCAATTTGATCAGAGATAACATCTAAAAGAGTGCAATCATGGGAAGAAGGAGAACGATAAAGAACAAAGAGAAAGGTGATAGAGTGAAGAGGTGCTAGGCGAAAGCACATAAAAGAATGGTCCAAGTATTCGAACCTGATTTCACGACAAATAGGGTAATTAATGCGTATGTATACCCCTAAACTTAGCATGTGACTATTTGAGTCTTTACGAATCGAAGGATAGTACCCATCAACACTGACATCTGAAGAAGGAATTGCAGAATATAAATTTGTTTCACTGAGTGCAAACAAGTCTGGTGAATTTTGCAGGAGGTACGACTCAACTGATGGAATGTTGCTTCGTAGACCGCGGATATTTGTAAAAGATATATTAAAATATTTAGGTGGTGGGGATGGTTTTTTAGGTTTTGAATTTTTGGTTAATTTGGTCATGATTTGGGTTTAATGAGAACTTGACTCATTCATAGATAGAGCACAGCCTCCTAATCAATGAGCTATGCAGTTGTCTCAGTCCTGTTAATTAACCCTAAGCCGTGACATAGGGCTCCTTATGTGGCCTTGATAATGCACACTAAAAACAATAACAGGGACACCATCCATGCGCAACATGGCACTGTTGATACTCTGATATTTTGCAGCTGTTGATAGAATCAGCCTCTCTGAGAGCTACCACAGAGTTCAGGAAACCTTACTACCAGCCGGCCTATGTAAAAGTTATTAAGTTAAATTAAAGTTTTATATCTAAAGTTTGGATGCAAAAGTTTATATTAATAAAAATTTTTATCAGTATTATAAACATAATTATTTTATTACAAGTATTTACAAGTATACCCAGCCAACATTGACAGACGGGTACCGTATGGTTTTTGTCTGGGCTTACGGGAACGGGATTTTGACGGGTAAGTGTTTTGGTTTCCAGACGGGTCCCATATGGTAATAAAATCAAGCATATTTGCTCGTTAGAGTTTTATCTGGTTTTTGTCAGGGCCGAATAACCTGGGGATTTGACGAGTTTCCCATAAGGTTCCCAAAAGGTTTTAAAAAAATCATAATTAAACTTACTCGATGGATGCCATTTTTAATTCGTATTGTGCGTGAAGTAAGATTAAAAATTTAACTTTTATGCATTACATTTTTTGAATACATTATATTTACATTGTAATTAAAAATAATTTTTTTTGATGTGTTTTGTCACTGTAAAACTCTGTTAAAAAGACGTTGTTTTAAAATTTCATTTATTTATTATCATTATAAAAGAATTTTTATATATACATATATATATATACATGTATACTATTTTTTAAATGAATTTACAAAGTTCAACATATTTGTTGAACATATGTTCCAGAAACTATTAAAAAACATGTAGTAAATGTTCCATTGAGACACTGTTTGCATTTTTGAAATGATCAAAATATAAAGTTTTGTTTCTGCTAGTCACTAGCAGAAACAAACTTTATATTTTGATCATTTTTAAAATGATTTTAAAAATGCAAACAATGCAAACTAGCAGCTAGTGATATAATTAGATAAGAAATGGTTTGAGTTTAATCAAAATATTAGTTTAGTCAGAAACATTTAAAAAGAGCAAACAGACGAATAGAATGTAATGGATAGGTTATATTTAAGGAATTAAAAGCTTTTAAATCGTTTTTACAGATCCACTCTTTTCCATTGATTTTTCTATATTTTATGCAAGCAAAATGACTGATGTTAACGAAGTTTACCCACCGTCAGATATAAATAAAGATATAATTACATGTTTAAATGCAAAAATATGGCTTTATTGTTATGCATCAACCTCATATTTAATCATTAATATTTTTTGATTTTGATTTAAAATTGTACACTTGCAATATAAACAATAATTTCATATTATACATAATAATAACTTATACTTACAATACCTATACTTGTAAATACTTGTAATATAATAATTATGTTTATAATACTGATAAAATTTTTTATTGATATAAACTTTTGCATTCAAACTTTAGTTATAAAACTTCAATTTAACTTAATAACTTTTACATAAATAACAATAACTAAAAAAAGATGTTAGTTATTATATAGATTATAGCCATATGCTTATTTATTATAATTGAGTTACAGTAAGTTAAACAATATAAAATATTATGTTCCAGGCAATAGGTCTTATATAATATGTATCTTATGTATATCTTGTATTTTGCAGCATGTTAAAGAATATTTCTGCATGGTGCACTCTGACTGTTGACAATATTTGCATATTGATATGAGTAATAGTGACTTCAACAACCAGAATGTGTTTTTGATAAATATTAATAATAACAGGTTGGTAAATATAATTATAGTAATAATGGCAATAACTTTTTATTATTAGAATTAGTGAGAGACTTATGTATAATAGAGCTACATTAACTTTGGGGGACAAATATAATAATTGAGTAAATATTACCGTTGTTTATAACCTCGATTAGAGTAATGTAAGTAAATATTATTTTTATCTAAAGAATATTCGGCAAAAGTCAGTATTTCCTAAGTATTAAATATTATAAAAAAACATGTGTTTAAAAAAAAAATTTAAATGTATCATAAAATAAAAAAATAAGTATTTGAGTATAAAAAAAAAAACACATTTATTATTATAATGTATATACATCACATTGACTATGTTGTCTATAAAGTTGAGGTTGCAGCTGATATTTCAGCTTCAGCTATAAACTCATTAGCTTCAGATTAATGCTGAAGCTGATCAAGTCAGTTTAATCATCTTGAAAGCTGATAGTAAAAGAGAATAATACTCCATAAATATTTTATATAAA